TGTTGATTTCAGTCATAAATTTTCAGGACCATGGCACGAGTGAGGTCAGCAACCAGGGACACATCACATCTGTCTCCTTTCAATCTCACAGAGTGGTCCGGCCTCCTCCACTGTATCGATTTCACTATTGATTTTAGGGACAGGACTGAATGAGTGCGGGATGGGAGGACAATTATGCAAAAGTGGAAGTGGGAGGGGACAGACTGGGCTTCAGGGAAAAGTCCTTCACTTACACTGTTATCAGAGGCTGCTTGTCAGAACGCTGGATGTGGATAGATCTTCTTTTCTGAGAGAAACTGAACAGTGAGCGTCGTGTCATTTTTAACACGTAGAGATGTGGAGCATTTTAAAAGTGAATGCTTCAGTCAGTCATGTAACCAACTTCCATTTTGCAAAGAGCTTTTTAAATGTGTTCATTGAACAGATGAACTTGACGGTAACGGTAAATACAAAATAAGATTACATTTTAAACAACATACCAAACTAAAAATGAATTAATGCTCACTTTTTTTCAAATCTGTTCTAAAAAGACTTTTTGATTGCTGTAATTGTTCCTCCTGTCTATACTGACCCTGACTTCCCTTTTTAAAGCTCCATATTTTCCTCCTCTCCTCTTTTTTATTTGAAGTGTTGATCCATAAGAAGATGTATTTGTGGTTTTAAGAGCCAAAAACCATCTCAATGTAGTTTTACATCTCCTCTCTCAGGCTTCTCTCTGGAGCTCTAGTAACAGCAGTTCAGTGAGCCAATCAGAAGAAAGGCTCTGCCTCTCTTCTGATTGGCTAACTCTTTTCTGAGTGATCTAATAAAAATATAGCAGATTTCAGGAAAACACCAAATCAACCAAATCCTGCAAGGTTGCATGGTGGGTCCAGGTGGGCGGGGCATGGGGCAGTGACTGCTTTGTTGTGACATCACAAAGTTGCAGAAGTCCTGACGACTGGTTTTAAGGCTCAGTTTCAGAATACAGGCTGTGTGCATTTCCCTGTGGACTGAGGCTTTGATACTTTCACAGTGTTATTATAGAACCTAGACCTGCTTTATAATCAAACAACACATGGACATCTACCTTTATACTATATGATTCCAATCCAAGAGATGTGAACTATCCTTAAACTATTATAAGAATACATAAAAACATATTTACAACAAGCTATATCAAACTTGAATCCTGTATAAAAATATAGCACACAAAATATTATTATCCTACAATTTTTATGGACATCTGCAAATGTATACTGTACATGCCAAAGCCAGTATGTCTCTGATGAGCTAATTAATTACACCAGTCACTGTGTATGAATGATAAGGGCCAGAAAATACATTAACAACAACAAAGTCATTTCCACCAGTGAAATCCAACAGAGGATGATGACTGGAAAACAATAACTGGAGTAAATGATATCAGACGGCCGCTGCTCTTCCACAGGCGACCAGCAGGGTGCAGCAGAGGCCCAACATCTGTGGGCAACAAAGCTGATTCTACATCCTGAATATCCATTTAGCTGCAGTCAGCCTTGACCCAGTGCAAGAGGAACACCCTGAATGCTGTACGCACAGGGCTGAAACCTGCAGGGAAAACAGGTGTGAGCGGGGCACACCTGCAGAGGACGACCTTATTCTGAGAGAAACTCACTGAAAATTCACTGGACTTTACACAGGCTTTATGTGAGTTATTGGAGGAAAAAGAAATTGCATCAAAATGCTTTTTCTAATTACAAGACTGATGGTGGCATTACAGGGTGGAAATGTTTACATACATGTTGATCTCACTGCTCATTTTTTTTAATTTTTTTTTTTATTTCTACACCAGGTCAAATTCAAGAAGCTCTTTTACTATCTCAGAGGTTTGAGATTTGACGCTCCAGCTGGCTCGTGCCTCAGCTCTTCTTCCTTCTTGCTTTTGAGTCACTACCAAACATCTTTAGTCACATAACTGGGAATTCCAGGCTTTGGTTCCAAAATGAAAAATCCATCACTGGAAAGTTTCCTCTTCCTAACTGATGTGGAACTGAATAACATTTGCTGCTGGCTAAACAGAGGCTTTTGCATTCAGATTATTACATAGTGGGAAAAACTGAGTTATTACTGTAACCTTGCTTCTTCTTCTTCTTCTTCTTCCTCTTCTTCTTGCATGTGCTGTTCGGGAGAACTTGTGTCAACTCTGAATGCTGCTGCTTTGAGTGTTTGGGGGTCACTGTCCAAAAGCGAACAGGAGTTTGCAGAACCAAATCTCTTAAAACCATCTCACTAACATCTGCTCATAAGCCCAGCCTAATAAAAACTCAAGAATGCTGCTAGTCTGTGTGTTTTACTGCTTATGGGGCTACTTCACTTTTTCCATATGCTGCTGCTGCAGTGTGGACAGTCTGGCTTGTGTGGGACCCTCAAAGCTCTGCTTCCAATAGATTTTGTCTTTGCTCCAAATGTATAAAAGCATATATCCATCTGAAAGTGTGCTACACTCTCCAGACTGCGCAGACTAGCTCATGCAATTAGGTGCCGCCATCCAGGCCTTTTGCCCCTCTGAGCAGCGCCTGCTATTTGTGGTGCAGAATCTGTTTCAGACTGCAGCTTGGGATCCATCTGCCTCGGATTTGCCACGTATTTCCAGAGCAGGAGACTGGCTCACCGGTGCGTTTCTCATGGCGATGTGAAATAGTGTGAGATAGCTGCTCTGTGCGACTGTGCATGTGTGTGTGCGCGTGTGCTCGTGTGTGTGTGTGTGTGTGTGTGTGTGTGTGTGTGTGTGTGTGTGTGCACAGGCAGCACAATGTCACCTTGACTACAATCTACAAGAGGCACTGAGGGCGCACTGCATCTGCACGGCACTGGTCAGAGGAGGAGAGAGGGAGTAGAAGGTATTTGCGTGTCTCTCGGAGTGTGAGTGAGAATATGCCAAATGTGTGAGTGTATGCGTGTGTGAGAGAGAGAGAGGGAAACTGAGGCGGGTATAGCTCTCTCAGACAGCTCGCAGTTCTGGAGGATCCCTCTTCAGATCCAGGCAGAGCGACGCAGAGATGTCAGGCGCAGCACACACAGGTGGGTCACACGGCAGCTGAGGGGTTCAGGTGAGACAGGCCGGGCTCGCACATTTCACGCGTTCCTCCGTTACAGGGCAGTTTTCAGTGTCATCATAATGACGCTCATGCAAAACTAGCAAACAGGTTAAATTATGTTTTTTTTTGTTTTGTTTTTTTGGTGCAGGTAGAGGCTGGACAGGCCTGCAGGCTGGCCTGAGGGTCATCTCGGTTGGCCAGGTGCTTTGGAAACAAAAAAAAATCTGTCAAATGTGAATCTTTAGGGATCACAATGAGGCGCACAGCCACAATTATAACCAAAAATAATCAGCGAGATTTAATAAACATCCAAGCCTAGTAGTATGTGCCATTTCCGCTGTAACAAAAAAAAAGAAACAATCCTCCTTAAACTTTCACCAGCTCAATTCACTTGCTGATATCTAATCTTAAACATGTGAGCCAGAAAACTGTAGGTGAGCTCTTCTCCGGCTGCAGATTTCCAGGTGTGTTGGAGGCTCTCTTGGCCTCCTGACAGGCAGCGCTACAGACCTCCAAACAGCCGCAGTGGGACCTTCAGGCTCCCGTTCAGCCATAATTGCATTTGCCGCGGCTGTAACAGAGTAAAACCCGCCGCCGCATCCTTTCCTCTCCGTCATGTGACTCCGCCGGGCGAATATATCTGTGTCCTTTTCGTTTTGCTGGAGAAATGCATCCTCGGCCAATCGCGTCTCGACGGAGGCGTCTCTCTCTCCCTCTCATTTTTTCTCGCTTTCTCTCTCGTGACGCGTTCACGTGTCGTCGAAATGAAGACAACTCATGAGCGGGTTCGCATGCAATAGCATATCTATCTGTTGTTATTTATTTCCCCCTGCTTTCACTTGACTTCGTGTGATTACGTTTTGCATAAAAACCTGTAGTAGCGTGTTTTGGACAATGAGATGGTAAAAGACCACTATCACCACCATTGTGATATAATCTGTACCAATACAATAAAGTGTTTTTTTTCTGCAACAAATCTCTGGATCAAAAAAGTGTCTCTTAATATAAAACACATTCCCCGGAATAAGAATTCTTGGCTTTATTTTGGACAAAAGGCACTAAAACACACAGAAAATCGCACTTTTACTTAAGAATATTGAAAATCCGAGTTTACGGGAAGCCCATGAAGGCAGCGCGAGGCCCTGTGACGTCAGCCGCTCCCCTGCGCTCCCTCCAGCAGCCAGTCAGAGAAGGGATGCTCTGAACGCAAGACTGCAGCATCTTCACCGAGAGAACGAGCAGGAAAAAACGTCTCTTTCTCTGTGTGTTCCTCCAGCTCCGCGTCTCCGGACCCTCCTCACCCACCCCGTCACCCCTGGGTGTCTTCATGATCGGACCCAGGACAGGATAAGAAGAAAGAAAATTATAGCCTGCCAGTAACGCATCGGATTTTTTTTTTGTATTATTATTATTATTATTATTATTACTTCACCGACCTTTCCTTTCTTTCTTCTTTCCTCGGTTGATTTCGCCTCTTTGTCTTTCGGTTGTGATTTTGTTTTGTTTTATTTATTGTTCCGTTTCGCTGCTGTTGCAGAGGAGCGCCACCATCCTTCACTGCCTGACATGAGTACGCTCTTTTATCCGGTTGCAGCGGAATGACACACATATCCTAGCCCGCATATCTGAAGGTTAATGGAAAATTGACGCTCCATTTGCACGTTTTTTTAGTAGCCTAGAAGATACTCCATCTGCAGAGGTTTCGGATTTTTTCCCCCCACTCTGAACCGATCATCCGCCGCTTTCTGTCCCTGCGCAGCATCTCTCTGTACGCACGGCGCACCACGGAGAAACGCGCAGCTAACCTCCCCCGTCCGTAAGAAACAGGCGTATTTTCCAATTCCTAAATCGCTTTCGCCTTCTCCAAGGACTCATCTGCACGGCTACGCTGCGTAAAAAAAACGGAAAAGGGGGGATTTAAACGCAAACGCAACCCAAGCATCCAAGAGCAAGCTCGAAAATGATGGCCGGCGGAGCAGTACAGCAAAACGGGATTTTCTCAAATCCTCACCATCACAATCAACAACCACACATGGAGTCCGATCCCCCGGACTCGCGTAAAAGACCCCTGGAGACTCCCACGGAGGCCAGCAGCACCAAACGCACAAACACGGGAGGTAAGAGTAGCGATGGGGATGCGGGGAGCTGTTCGGGTTTCGGTGAATGTTGCTTCGTCCTGAGCCAGGCAGAGAGAGAGAGAGAGAGAGAGAGAGAGAGAGCGAGAGAGAGAGAAAGGGGAGCAGGTTGATCTGATTCTTGACGTACGCAGCGGCATGCTATACAGCCCCGCACTCATAGATCTGTACTTCAATAACGCGGTGATTATAAATACAGGCAGCACGGTATTTTTACCCGCTTTCTAAATGTGTGACAGTCATTTTCCATCAGCATGAAAATAATCACAGGCCGCCGCTTTTGATGGGAAGGAAACAATGAGAGGGACTGAGGGGGGATTTGGAGGGAAGCCGCCGGTTCCCCTCGCTCACATCCTGACTCCCTCAGCCTCTTTAGATCAGCAGAATTGGGTGTTTTTATTGCGTCTTAAGATTTACGCGCAGCCACAGCGGCCATGCTGGAGCCAACATAAGGATGTAAACAAGTGAAAGCCAGATCAGGCTGGTGCGTGATCGCAGGCTCTCATCCCGTCGACGGATGACCTTGTGATAATCTCACACATCAGCCACCATCGCCGCTTTGTGTACAATTACACAGGCGGATAAACAAGCGGACTCATAATAACAGCAGGCCTGTGGCGAGCCAGAGAGAACAAGGGGGGATCCAGAGCAGCTCAGAATGCGACAGTGTCTCTGTGTTATTGCAGTATGTCAGAGCCTGTATATTTTACCATGCTTTGCTGTCCTGATTTTAATAACCTGCAGCTAGAAGAGAGAGATTTTTTTTCTCTCTTAATTTTCTCCAATCATGTTTCTTCATTATTCTCTGGTTGGATGAAATATGGATATGTCTCCATGGCAATCACCATATTTGGTTTTTGTTTACATGCTGTCATGCGCCAAGCATTCCCATCATTACAACCATCAGTAGCCTATCCTGGCCATGCACCCCATCATGGACATTTGGACATACAATACACCTTTAAATGTCTTACTTACACAGCACCGCGTGCGCTCAGTGAAGATATGGTGACGATTCAGGCGATTTTTTTCTCTCTCATATGCAGCTCAAGATTTTGACTCTACAATGTTCTAATGATTTAAAAGCTTCTAATTACAGTCTGTAGATTTTGGGAGACCCAAGCTTTTAGTGCAGACTGTTAAATCTGACTGTCAGTGTGAACATGTTAGTCTATCTTTGGACACAGCTTCCTTCGGGAGACACTGGGAAATGTGTCATTTACAAGACTGAGAAAAAATGTCCCAGTACAAAGTGGCAGAGAGCCAAGCTTTAAGGTCACGTCTGCCGTTATGGTCATCAAGATTTAGAAAAAAAAACAAACTAACACGCAAAGAAAAAAGATTTTAGTCGACCTGCAGCTTTAATGCTAAGAAGTAATATTTTCTGATTGAAATTGTATTTAGCTCTTATGTTGAATTTGTTTAAATTTGATTATTTTCATGTCAAAAAATATTCAATGTTTTATCCCCTGAGGGAAGAAAAGTCTCAAACAGTGTGCAGACGCTTTCAAACTCTGCACTCACACACAGATTGATGAAATGTGTTTTGTGTTAGCATATCCTTAAAGTCAGATGACTAATGCTCGCTGAATTATAAGTCAAATCTGAGATAAATTAGAAAACATTCAACTGAATAAAATATTCAAATAAAAATAAGTAAAATGATTTCACTGTGAGATTCTGCAGGTTTGATCAGAGAGGAGCCTCCATCATGTTAGAGGTGGTCAACATGACTGATATGAACACTGAGGTGTCATTATTTTCCTGATTTATTGGTCACATGACCTTTCAAAGCTGTAAATTCAGTGATGGTTATAAGAACATAAAATAAAATGAATAAATCAAAGTTAAGTGTTTGAGTTGTCTGTCCCTTTTTAACAATAATAGGGACAACTTTAAAAAAAAAAAAAGAGAAAAAAAAGTCCTCAAAATCAATAAGTTTTTATCTTTTTGTAGATTTTTTGTGACCTGGCCCTGACAGTCATTTTTAACAGTTACTTCAGCTCCCAACAGAAAACATGACGGACAAACCTCCAGAGTAATAATCACACAGAGAGAGTGTCCGGCTGAGGGGGGGGGGGGGGGGGGGGGGGGGGGGGGGGGGGGGTGAGCTGCAGGTTGTAGCCGGCGTTGTTTAACTGCAGATCGATGCAGCGCTCGGAGAACTAAAGGCCTCCACTTCACTGTATGTAAAATCCCAAGGCTCACATCCCCCACCCCCCCAGAGGACCATCCTCCTGCCTGTAACAGTCAGGCAGCTCGTCCATTTAGACAAATGAAAAGGTTGGGATGATGATGATGATGATGATGATGAGCATGGCCGAGCAGGCTTTTACTCAGGCCGCGCTGAACACCAGGTCAACACTCCCTCAGCTAGCAGCATCAGGCTGATGATCGGATGACATTTGGTCGAAAATGACCAAGTCGCTCACACACGCACATACGCACACACACACACACACACACACACACACATTGAGATAAACAACAAAGAGGAATCAGAGCTTGGTTGCGGGTCTTTGGTGAAACATTTTTTGAATTCAATTCTGTTTTCAAAATGTGTGTTTGTTCCAGTGACATGATGGAAGAATCTGGTCTTGATGAGCTCTATTATAACTGACATTTACAGCTTGAATTAATCAGATGACACATAAGAGATTAGCCTAAATGACTCTTTTAAATTTCTAATAAGATGCAGAAATTGTTTTTATTCCTGGCCCTTGATGCAGAAGAAAACATTCACCTTCTAGTGGCTGTATATTGCCTGTATATTTTCACTGAGAATATGTTTTTTGTATTTATACTTTCTTTTTTTTTTTTAATCTGCACTCAGGCTGCAGTTTTAAATTTATATAAAGTCAAAGTACTGCTAAGAGATCATGATAATGGTTGTTTCTCTGAATGATTAGTTTACGCGACACACTCCCCACCCCTGTGCTTCCTCTCTCTGTAGTGGCCTTCCTGCAGCCCCTATTTGAAACTGAAGGCATTGTATTCCCTCACCAAGAAACTGAGACTCATGGTAAGAGAGACTTTGATTTTGATCTTCTGCCTGTTTTATAATCTTTACTGTAACCTTCTTCAATGCAGGACTGATTCAGCAGTGATAACACGTAGCTTCATGTTGTTGTTCTTAAAGGCCAAATTCTGCAGAGCCAAAATCTAAATTTCAGGGCATTGTCTGACTGCTGCAGGGCCTGACATTTAAATAGGATTTAAAGTAACATGTAACACCTTCATATTCTACTCATGATTCAGGATAATGCATGCAGATATTGTTTATATTGTATGTTATCAGTTCCATAACATCCATTTTCATGCTTTTTATACAAATCCAGTGTTTCTTTTGTCATGATACCCGACATTACTGCACAGATGAGTCCTGATGACCTTTGACCTCATGCCAGCCATATCATCAAAGCATTTGGGGTTTATGACTGCTGATGTATTGTTGAAATGTTCATTCGCTGTCCATTGTGCTCAGAGTGTTATATATGACGGCTTCAGTGTGCACCGCGCAGCTGCTGTTGAGTAAAAGTCACATGACTGTAGTTGTAATGTTTTTTCTTCCTCACGGGTCTAATCGAAACTTGTTGTTTAGGGCCCCAAAAGAAAGAAGAAAAGGTCTAAATCATCAGAAGTATTCCTCTGCATCGGAGCAGAAAATTATCATTTGTCTGTCATGTTTTTTTTTTACCCAACAGCTGCAGCGTAGAAATATATCCAGATGTAAGGAATAATACCTGAGCAAAGTGTTTTCCATTCATGTCGATCAGAGCTGCTGTGTGAATGAGAAGTGAGATTTAATTCAAAGAAGACGAGAAAAGATGGACTTGGATTTTTCCACTGAGCTTCCAGGTGGTTTGTGTCCAGGGTTTATCCAAACACGTGTGCGTACGTGCGTTTGTGTGTGTGTGTGTGTGTGTGTGTGTGTGTGTGTGTGTGTGTGTGTGTGGAAAACGGGAAGCAACACTGGAGAGAAAGAGCTGGTCAGCTGTCAGACAGTAGATAGGGGATGACATGGGACCGCTGTAACCCTGCAGGTCATAAATCACGACCACTTCTCATAAAAAGCTGAAGGTCTCAAAGACGAAAGGATCAATGAGTAACTGCAGTAGCTGCCAACACCCCCCACCCACCACCACCCCTCTAATCCACCAACCCAAACCCATTCTTATCTCTGCATCCCCCCGGCCCCTCACCCCGGCTCAGTGGGGTTCTCCCCGGCATTAAAGGAATTCAGATTTCCTTCTAATCGTGTACACATATGATCAGACACGTTTAATGAGCTCAGTGTTAATATTTAAGTTTGTTTCAGATGTTTAACCTCAGATCATTTTCAAAGCCAGACTTGATCCTAACTGAACCAGTCAAAATCTTCCAGTAATTTTATAGGATCGGCTGCTGCCGGCCAATCAGGGATCAGCTGTTTCACTACGTGGACTACAATATATAAAGAAAAAAACCTCATGGAGAATGAATTCTTTTATCTCAATGTATTACATTTGACAATGAAATAAGAAAATCCGAATATCACACAGAGCCTTCAGGAGGATTTACAGCTGTTTTGGAGTTAAATGCTTTTACAGTATCATGTGGCCAAAATGATTCAGGGTGGGAGGATGTACAAGGCTACTGAACACCAGCTGGAAATAAAACAATAAATCACCTGAAACACACCACAATATCACTTTATTAGCCAAGAACGATACATTTACAAAAACAACTACCTCAGTGGCTTCAGTGCAGAGACGCATCAACCCTGAAAACACACTTACAGTATGACACACACAGGTTGAAAGGTTAAAATATTTACTTACAACTTATACATTTTATATGCAACATAATATAATGTAGTATAATATAATATAATATAATAAAATATAATTTGGAGCAGGGACTACAAACATAAGGCACTGAAAAGTGCTCCAACTTAAAGGACCATATAGGTCGTATGACCCTACCTTTGGATACGACCCTTA